CAAAATTGTATCGCCACCTAACTTTTCAAATAAAAATTCAAATTTCTGCTATTTAAACTAAAGAATTTCATAAAATTCAAATGGCATTTTTTCTTGCAAAAGGGTAGCCAGTGCCATATGATCATCTTCCAATATGATCTATTTGGCTGAATTTCTTATGGCAGAAATTCAGTCAAATCTATTTCCCATCAAGTGAGACCTCTGCTAACACTATAAATTAAAAAAGTAAAATAAAATTACTGCAAACACCTATATATTCTACTGTATATAATTTCATTAAAAATTCTACAATTTCTTTCACTATATCTTTTGAACAACAATTAGACTTTACATGATTGCATCATTCAATCAAAAAATTGGTAAATATTTATATACAGTCTTTCTTGAGAAAAGTATTTTTTTTATTATACAATGAATTTCATATAAGTTATTCTGCTATTTTGTTTTGCGATTGGTCAATAGAGAATGTTTTTTGTAAAGAAATTTTTTCCAATTGTTTTTGAGTTTGCGATAGGAAATTAAGTACTTTTAAGCACTTTCTACTTGTAAGGATTGGACTTGGAGACATAAGCTTCTGACTCCCAAACTACAAATATATTCTGCTTCTTTAATTCTGAAGATCATACAGATATTATTGCACAAAGTGCATATCCATTTTATTGAATCTCAATAGCACACAATGATCCAAATCTATCAAATGGTCAGTGGAAATCCATCTGAAAATATTACCAGCTAAAAGAAAGCCTAGCTAGGATACTGATGTTATTTCCTCTAAATCAAATCAAACCCTATGTCTTACATAATAATGCTTTGGTGCATTCTGTGAGAATGTATCCACACAATTGTTCCAGTTAGACAAAGAGCAACTCAAATCTTTTGCTAGTTGAAAATTGAAGGGTCTGAAAGATATGACCGATCAATGAGAAATAAATTTTTGTTATAGTTTTGGGCTTAAAAAATGTCTCTCATTGGGTATACATGAATAGAGTGAACATGTACAATACACAGATCATAATTTGCTAAAGTACCTGGCTACTTGTTCTTGAATTTCATGCAGGAAACTTGTTGCAAGGGCAAAGCCTATTGCATACATTTTGTTAAGATCGTACATTGAAAGAGGTGGATCGCATTAATATGAATGCGCTATCATATATGACCACCATAAATTCTAAAGAGGATCTGAAAGTTAATATAGAAAAATGACCAAAACTTTAATTATATTATTTGCTTATGTCATGTCAAATGTCCCCTGTGGATGAGCAGGGAAAGAAACAACACATGACTATTTTCATTATTTAATTTGTACTCCATTGTACATGAAGAACCAGCCACAGTGGTAATACTAACAAGTGCAATGGAAATTTGTTTTGAGTAAATATTAGTATACTGTAATAAAATCCATACCAAGCTGATAGTGTGGAAGGCATAGCCATTATACTGTAGTTCAAAGAGTCTGGCCCAAAGGAAAGAGAAGTGTAAAAATAGCTATTTTATAAACTTAAAATAAAGGAATTAACACACCTTTTCAAGTAAGCACCATTTTTTCCAGATATTGGAAACCAGCAAGACTTCCCAATGCTGCTGCCACACGTTTTCCACCATGTTTGGGCATGAGGCTGGCTGGGTGCCCTGTACACATCAGGTAAGCTTGAGATGGAAGTTGGTGAATCAGATAAAATGTAGGGGAATTCATATCTGGTTGCAGTAGAGACAGTGGAGGTGGTCAAATGATTCAGCAATTCTTAACAGCTAGAATAGGTTCTGGATAGTGAGGAACTTTTTCACATTTTTCCAACAGCAAACAGTTCCCAGAGAAGGTTCAGTAAGTATATAAGAACCCAACTAGACCATGCATTTGAACAATCCCCACTTGCACACTCATACAAAGACTAAGCATCAACTATATCCATATTCTGACCTTTCATATTATTTTAATTCCTTGTAAGCTTTGTTGCTTAGCAACATTCTTGAAGTGATATACATTTAATATCCAGCATATTGGCTCCATTCTTATTCTGGGAAATACTATAGTATAGTCACGATTTTAAATTTGACACTAATAAATATCAGATTTGTTAGGTATAAATTTCATAAATACTATTTAAACCTATCTAACTGTTATATTATTTGCATAATGTGTTTTCTGCATAAATTTGTAGAATTTGTTAAGTAACTTAATATTGATTACCAAATAGAAAAAAATCAGAAATAATTAATATTTTATAAGCTAAAAGAACAAAGAATTTTTCTTACCACCATCTTGCGTTTTGTCTTTTTTTCGTTTCTTCTTCTTGTTATTCAATGCGTAATTATCTCTTGCACTCCAACCGGGGTATAACTGCATGTGTATCTGCCTTTCTTTACGAGCCATCTCGTAATACTTTGCCTGTTCTTCCCGCGATAGGCCGTGCCACTGTCAAAACAAACTGTGTATTTAAAAGCCTAATCTAAAACTTTTGATAAATTAAACTGTTAAATTACCTAAAGTAAACATTTTAAAATACAAGTTAAATATCAGTAAATTTTTCCCTATAATTCAGTGATTTGTTTTTAAATTTGACTATTAATACTAATACTGAAATCTCTAGTATTAATATTAATAATCAAATTTAAAAACAAATCACTGAAACACTATTGTATCTTACTAAATTCAATAATCAAAAATAAATTAATTAAAAATATTTTTAAAAAATCAATTTTCAATGCTTCAAAAGTTTGGCTCCCATAAACCGTTGCCGATAGCATTTACAACCCAAGCTGACTGTTGGTCTTTAGAGCTTGAAACTAGGTAACATGACCCAATGTGTAAGCAAACTTCAACATTTGCACATCTCTGTCATCTCTACTGGTCCTGCAATTTGGATGTGCACATTCCTTCATGGTGTTGCAATTTCACTTTTAAGGAGTGTAAATGAGTGACTGAAATTGTTCACAAACAAACAACTCCCAAAATATAAATTCTAAAGTCTAGTCTCACATACAGAAAAAGCCAGCAATGAGTTGTGTAACTTTCCTGGAAAAAACATTTAAAATTACATGTGTCATCATCTGTTATGATTTTATTAAAAAGCTTTATATACTATTAATTATTATATAATGAAAAACAGTTAATTTTAAGATTAGACATGAGTTTTATAAAAAAAAATTTACAATGCTAATAATTAGTGAAATCTTCATTAAGTCCAACCCAACTCAAGATATGATATGACCTCTATCTCCCCACCATTTTAACCCTTAACCACCAAAATTTAATAGCACAATTTTCCCTAACATGCAAACCTCCCTGCAAATTTTCAAAAATGTTTGACAAAAAGCAAACAATTATCACTTTCTATACAATTTCTCATTAACCAATTAATTACTGCACTATTATTTTTATAGAACCTAAGTCATTAAATCTACCTACACGTACAAGTATGTTATCAGTACTCTGTGAATGTGCACATAGAGTTTATAATAAGATCAATAAAATCAAAAGAATGAACAACAAAATTGTATATAATGTAAAACAAATCACAACTATAAGCCCAAAATTTCTCATAAAAAAGTCTGATTGAGCATAGGACAATAATGGAACCACAGATTATCATATAAACATGAATTGAATATTGAAATATTCAAATGCCTGTTTACAAAGCAAAATACAATATTTGACCATGGTGATGACTATGTTTGTATGTGGCAACACAATCAGCCGAAAGGATGCCTCCAAAGAAGACGTTCTATGAAAAACTGGTTCCTATTTAAGTGTGACAAATGTAAAGAAAACCGAGAAAACTATATAGCCAATCCACTGAGTAGGGAAAAACCCACAACCAACTTCTAATGTTCAGAGTTTATTTCACTCAGCTAATGGTGGGCCAAACAACTTTAAATGCAACATTATATTTGATCATGAATGTATTTGGCATCCATTTAATAATGGTAATAAAACCAAATTATCATTTTGTAGTAACTTCCAAAGTATCTAGATTTATAGGCTGTCTATTTAATTTTACTTACTCTTCGACCAAGAATTTGATTAATAGCTGCGCTCTCTTTTAGAGTGCATTCTGCAACAACTTTGGCACGCATTTCCTTCATGTACAACATGAAAGCATTTAAAGGTTTTTTGATATGCGTTTTCTTATCATTAAGTGGCTTGTTTTGCGTTGATCCACTCCCATTAGTTCTTGGACTAGTTTCGTTTCCTTTGCCTGGTTGGACTTTCTGCTCTTCTCTGAAGGAAGCTAGGGATTGACTGTATATATATATACATACAAATGATTAATTATTAAATTATATATATATGTACATTTTTAAATATAGCTTTAAAAACAATGTGATACCTGTTATTTTCTTGTATTGGCAACTCCAGTTTGGGCGTGGTAGCCAATAACACAGGATGATGAAAGCCCGGATGAGATGTCAACCCGTGATGAGGAAGAAGAGCGGGTGCACTGAACCTGGGAATTCCAGCTGTCGTGACCGGTATTCCTGGAGGATATGGTCCTCTGAATCCCGCAGGAGTCATAGAATACATAGGAGTGTGCCTAAAAGTAATTTATTTCCAGAATTATTGGCTCAATCAATATTTAATAGAAGAAAATATAAAATTTCTTAATTGTACAAAATACAAAATAATGTTACCATGTTTTCAAAATTCAATATCAACATAATTAATTTCTAAAGGAAAACAGAAGAAAATTGGGACAAATTAGTTCTGAATTAAGAGAATAATAATGAAGATGATAGACTATTACCAAATGTTATGTTTTAATAGATTCTACATCATCTATTAAAACACACACTCAGCACTATCTACTAAACTCTTTCTAAAATTAAATAACTTGTGTTTATGTATTTACAAGTTAAAACAAACATGAATGAAAGTGTTATGTTAAAAATTCAAAGTTTTGAGTGGATTGACATTCAAGTTTTTGCTTTCTCGGCTGCCATATATAACAGGGAAAGTACAGCAATTGATCAAAGAATGATCCACTACCAAGATTTTTAATTTTTGGACTTGGGGAGTTTAAAACATTGTGAAATGGAAAAAATTTTGGTAGTATTTTCTGTATGTATCAATGTGTGCACATTTGGAAAAAACACTATTTTGTTCACCCTCTTTGAAGCTTAATATCTCCTGTGCTTTTTGTCAAAAATTTCTGAAATTTTGCAGGAAGGTTTTGTGTATTAGTGGATTGATGCTGTTAAATTTTGGTGTTTAAAAGTCAACAGGATGGAGAGATAAAGGGGAGTCATGTGCCATATCTCAAGTAGGGTTTAACTTAACGACAATTTTACATGTTATTAGTATTTACAATTTTTTTATAAAACCCATCCCTATCCTCAAAATTAAGCCATTTTAAAATAATTATACAAAAAGTTTTTAATGAAATATAATAACAAAAGGTGCCACACAGTTTTAATTATTATTGCCAGGAAAGTTAAGCATTTGGTTGCTGGATTTTTATCACAATTATTATTTCAGTGTAAATATATTCACAAAATAGTGTATTGCAGAGTGTTTCAGTGCCATTTAATTTTTAAGGTCTTTGATAGTGGTATGTGAGAAACAAATACATTTCACCTCCGTTCATGCAGGTCAATCAGGTTTTGAGTGACTAATATGACACATTTATTCACTCATATTTACATATCAACAATATTCCCACAACATTACTTTAATTTTTGCTGTCCACTAAATGAATGGCAATGTTTGAAGTTGAAATATTAGATTGTTCAAAAACCCCAAAAAACTAGTATGCCAAGCAACAAACAATGACACAAAATGCTTCTTTACAAACAGCATAACTTATAATTAAACTGTTAATGAAACTTATAATTACCTGTACGACAAGTTGAGTACATATTATAATCAAACAGTAAAACCAGATTCTTATCAAGTTATAACATGGATAATTAATTAGTCATATTATAGCCTGATAAGAGTTGTATCATTTGATTATTATGAAACAGAACCACATGCACCTAAGTTAATCATTTGAGGATCTAGAAACAGATTAATGATCATCAATTTAATAAGGCAATCCTATACATTTGGACAACTCACTCTTTTATACATAATACTGTGATACTTCCTAATCATTTTTCATATTCTGCATTTGCACTTTCACACATCTTCAGCCAATAAACAGAATTTCAAACTATTGTGCATTTATAGATGATTTTGGTTTCAGTAACAGCAAAACATTTGTAAAAGTAATTTTTATTATCTGCTTTCTGTTTATAATTTTAACATTTTAAATAATGTTTTCGACATTGTAATATAATCACAACAGAAGGGCAAAACTTTCCTACCTAATAACAAGTCCTTATTATTTTTATGTTAGTTCTCTAAGAACAAAATTTCCTTTATAAGGTGTATGAAAATGTATTCTTTCCTTCATATCACATTGGCTGAAAATGTATGAAAGTACAAATGCATCATACAGAAAGTGATTTGGAGGATATAAAAGTATCTTGTATGAAAGGGTCAGTTGTCCAAAAGTCTAGGACTGTTTGTATTAAATTGACGATCCTGAATTTGTTTCTAGATTTGCAAGTAATTAACATAGGAGTGTGTAATTCTGTTTTCTTAATGTAAATAAACTTGCATTTTCAAGGAGTACAGCATGTAATTACATATATAATTATTAGACTTACAGACATAAATTTTGTACACATTTTTTGAAACATGTTATGTCCAAAAGTTAGACCTATCATACTCAGATAGCTGCAAACTGAACAAAAATGACTCCATTCTTATGTAATGAAGAATACAAGTTACACAGTTATTTTCTTTACACATCATTTGCTTTTGATCTTAAACACTATCATAGTAAGGCCAATTCAAAACATACAGTATTTAAAAAACTACTCTATAAAGGTTTATGCAAAATTGATTAAATTAATAGATATTAAACTTCTACAATCTGTTTAAAAAAAATTTAAATACGTAGTCATATTTTGAAAGTATCATAGTAAAGTTCTTTGCCATTAAACCAATTTAACCATTTGTTTAGAGGAAAACTACTGCAAATTACAAGAGTTCTAAAGATGGAACATTAAGACGATCGTTCGGCTTCATTATTCTTACAGGCTGTAGTTTGAAAACTCTATAATGTTGGGTGTTCCTAAATGATGGGAAGTAAAATATAGGGTGTTTCTAAATGACGTAGAAAAATGATGAAAGATCACACCAGGTCAAAATGACTATGAAAATTCTTTGTAAATGCAATCTTGGAAAGGAATTCAAATTTAGTAATGTAATGTAACTCTAGCCACATTTCTACAGAAGCAGATTTCTTAAAAATACATGTTTCACATATTGAACCTAAGTGTAAAATGTAAAGCATGGTGTTTTGATTTTAACTTCTTTGTGCATGCAATCTCTAGCAGATGGTTTTAAAAATGTAATGCTTTTTCTACAGAAAAATCTGTTTCCAAAAATTCTCAAAAATACAAGTAGATTGAGCCAAGCAGTTTTTCCATTATAATCCTATTTTAACTCTATTAACATATAATTTAAAATTTTGTAAAAAAATTAACTAATTTGTTTTTAAAAACTCTAAACTATGCATTAATAGAAGAATTAAATAAGATTGTAATGAAATAACTGTTCAGTTCTATCTAGTGTGATGTTCATTCCAAAATGGAGTATACAAAGATACATATACAAGAAACAATATCTTTTTCGTGATGAATGAACGCAGTTCTTCGGATTCCAACTCTTTTCAGTCCACAGATTTAAGTTTGTACAGATTTTTTGCTACAACAAAACTTGATTAAACAATAGGGGAGAATCACAACCACTACTAGGTTTATGACAATTATTATCAATGTCTTCAGGACTGCAAAATAAAAAGTATTAATTCCAAGGCATTAATCTAATTAAACACTAAATAAGAATGAGATGGATAGACACCCAAGGGAAAAGAGTTAAGAAGCACCCAAGGGAAAAGAGTTAAGAAGGAACATTCTAGAAAAGATAGACAATAGAACAAAGAAGAAAGAAAGGAAACTATACTACATTAAAAATAAAAATATACAAAATATGATGTACTGCCACATTAATCTTGTTTTCAAAAATTTTTTGGAAGAGTTTCCTGTAGAAAAGGCATTACATTTTTAACATCATATGCTGGAGATTGCATGCAGAAGAATCAGTCCTAATTATCAGAATAATTTTTTACTTTATTGTCTTAAGAATTTTGTGCCTCATGGAATAAAATGAATTGTTGTACAAATTTTAAAATTATCATTCATAATTTAAGAGAAAATAGATTGTAAATTATTGTAAAATTTCAAAGAACATATACTTTAATCCCTTAAATGATATTTAAAACAACATTTATTAACATAATATATAAAATAATTAATAATATAATTCTAAATAAAACAATAGTACATTTATTAAATCTTAAACCGGATATTTCACTAGATACATATAAATTAACAACTACCTTACACATTGAATATTCTTGTTTATATCATTCAAAATTAAGACAGTAACCTGTAGTCCATTGGGGATAAGATTTCGTAACTTCTCATTCACTATCATCAGAATAGTTAACATTCTGGATAGGTTTTTGGCATAAGTTCATGGTGGATAATAAAATCTTAACCATAAGACTAATAGTTGATAATATTGCAAAAAATATTACTATGTTTTCAACTGGTGTATCCATGGAAAAATACTTTCTGAGAACCCTGATTTGATTGTCCTATTACAAGACCTCCTGGTAGAGAGACTTAATAAAATGACAACTTACTTATGTTGACAAATACTAGTCACTGTCTGCTTAATAGTGCAAGAAGGCTAGCTGCTAGTTACATATATATATAGCACTATTTCCAGGGCAAATAATAGTATTTATTGACCAGGGCAAACAGCAGTATTTAGGGTACCTACAAGTAGATACCATCAAGCATATTTTGCACTCTTAGTGCCCACAGGATGGAAAGAGAAAAACAAACTTTTGTCACCTTGATCATCTGGTTACACAACCAAGTTGACAAAGGCCTGTTATTCAAGGGATTACCACTCAATTCCAAGTTAAAATATGAAACTTAAAATTTTTAAAGCTGCCTGATCCAGATATATTAGATCCATTCATCACCAATTGGTCAACCCCACACAAGTCAAGTCTGCCCATAGAAGTTAAAACTATAAGAAGTAATGCAATCTGTAATAGAATAATACCCCATATCAACAAATCAATCAATTGTATTATGCAATGCAATAGTGAAGAAGATAGAAACAAGTAATTCAAAACAGAAATAGTTCATATAATTTTACTATATAAAATTATCAGATTGATTCTATATTATTCCATATTGACGTCCTCAGATATATAAAGTAAAATTCTCATTCAAGCGGATAGCACATTAAAATGTGTGTGTACAACTAAATGTCAAAATTAGAGTAGAGAATACTTAACTATAAAAAAACTTGAAAAAATTTATAAAAAAAAAAGTAAAATTAAAATATTTAAAATGTCCAGTTGTGCTTGTCAATGTTTAATTATTTTATTTAGTATTAATTCAGAATTATATAATGTTATAATTATAAAAGTGTATCATAGATTTGCAACAGACAACAGCTAGCTCTTGCTGAACACATCAGTTCCCTTTACATTGCTAAAGCTGAAACAGCATATCTGGTCATTATTCTGACTGGAGATGACATAAAAACAATCATAATACTGCTGTAAATATCACCCAACACCAGATAGCTCTAGACAGTCCCAAGTCCAGATATTAGAATGGGTTGATTGTAGGAAAAGCATCTGGCTATAAAAAGCTATGTTTGCAAAAAAAAAAAAATCTATTCTGTTTATATGATGTAGATTTAGCAACCCATAACATGAAATAAGCAATGGATGAAGAAATTCATAGATTTACAATACCCAGAGACATATATATGTATATTATATAATTATATTATTAAAACAGGCAGAATTTTATATATATATAAAATTCTGCCTGTTTTAATAAAATGCATCAATAGTGTACAAAACATGGACTTTTAATAACTTCGAATATTAATATTAGCATACCATTTAAATTTTCATTGATAATTCTATTGTAATTAATTACTGTCTACTAGAAAAGTTCATAGCATTTAACATACAGTTTATTCCCCTCCATTCCCCTTGATAAATCTGTTTAATTATGTTGACATACACATAGTCACATATTAAAACAGAGATCTGCAATGTGGGAAAACATTAGAAAATTTTAAAATTTATATAAGATCATTACCATCAGTATCCTCATCCTTATATAAAACATTTACTAATTGGACATATCATAAAATATTTACAATTCATTTAAAATATTTAAAATGAAAATTGTTGTGTTCTTAAAGATTCAAGTTACCATATGAGAAAACTTTGTTAACTTAATTAATGTCATTAATTACATACAACCTTTCCTTGAAAACCGAATAATAACGTCATTTAAAAGTATGGTTTTAATAAATTTAAACGTAATTTTATAAATATTTAATTCAGTACAATATAAAGATAGCTTATGTACTGGTGATAAAAGTATAAAACTATATTATAATGATCTTTTTAACAGTATTTGTGCATTAAACAAATGTTAATTTATTTAACCGTTAATTATATTTAAAGTAATCTGCCCCAATATTAAGTCAGCATTTATCAAGTGCAAAAAGCTTTTAGACACATTATTTGGGCGTCTTCCATGAGGAAGCGTGCCAAACCTACATTGCACTTATGAATATATATGACGTGCATACTGATTATCGAAGTATTACGCATAGTAAACTCAAACTTTCATTGAATACTTAAAATAACAATGTATATTCTAACTGGCATGATGCCAGAGTGAATTAAACCTATAAAAAATAATCAACTTTACAGCATAAATAAACAAAATTAAACAGTGAAAATATTTAGTTTCTAAGCTTAACTAACAATAAATTAATACGGCAGTGCAGCGACTCCGAATTATCCTCGTAAAGAAACAAAGTGCGAAAGCTTAGTTATACATTAACCCAACGTGATGTTTATTAAATCTGGAGTAGATAAAAAAATAATAATAAATTTATAATGCAAATAGAGACACTACACATCGCAGCTTTCTACGGTTTAAAGATCGTAAACTAGGATAAATAGGAACCATTTAAATGTTTACAGATGGTAATCACGGCCCTCCCGTGGAGCCAATTTAATTATTTTCTTTTCTACTCTATCCAAGTGCATATTTATTATAAGAAAATTTCAACAGATCACTTAATGTGATTACTACAGATTATCATTTATCTGCTTGACTTTTAAATGAAGATAAGAAGATAACTGTGCAACAATTTGTTATAATCTCTGTTTGTGTTATCAGTTCTTTGATATGAATGAATTTTCCTAAGGTAAGTTTATCAGAAATTACTAAAGATTATGGCAAATGTACACAGTTTAAACCTTTACTTACACTTTTAAATGAAAACAATTACCGGCAACATTGAACTGAATCATGTTTTCAGTATACTTATAATTCAAAAAAGTTCATTATTTGATCAATTTCCCACGTTGATGGGATCAAATCTTCAAAATAAACAGTGAAATCGACATCTGTACAACATAGTTGTGACGACACATTACTAGTCCCGTTACGTCACGGATTTTGAATTTAATCGAAAAAGAATAATTCCTTTAATTTTTTTTATTAATTTATAATTAATTGTTTTTAATTAATGCTTATTTATAACTGTTATTTAGTGATTAGAATACTAATAAATACTTATTTTTATTCGAAATATTTTCGATTTTTCCTATCCACCGCTAGATGGAGGTAAAGCCATTTTTAAAACCAATTTAAAAATCGTAGCATAAAAACGCTGATATGACACACAATAAATTCCAATTAATTCAATTACTGTTGTCGTATTAATGATTTATACGCAATTAATGTCATTAATTTAGTTGCAAGCGAATGTTCAGTTTTTGTTTAAGTGTCTCACGAGGAAGAGGGTAGACGTTTTTTTTTATAAGGAAACGCAATTGTTTCTTGTTAGACTCCAGATGTGTTTTTAACAGTTTTTCAGGATACGCCCTTTCATTTAGTCACGTTCAACGCGAGTGATATGCGCGACGTACGCGGTTCCCGTGGGGGGCANAAACTTCTCGTAGAATAGGAACAAACATTCCGAAAATTTGGGTTAGCAAAAAACACAAAAAATTAGGGAATGAAACGAGTAAAAAAGCCTTCTTCCAGGAGCAATTTGTATAGCGAACTCTCTTTCTGAGAATCTCCTGGCATAATGGAATCTTAAGAGATAAACACAAAATAACGGTACGTGCGTATGTCTGACGTTACCTAGACTTTGACAATTCTTTTATTAAGCTGATACTCACCAGTTTTTGAACTTAGATGAACGGGTGGAATTCCCATATGAGCGGGTGGAGGTTGTGTAAATCCTTCCGAATTATACATCATGAAAGGAAGAGGAGAACCGGGATGAGTCTGTGGTACCATAGCAACTTTGTTGGCCTAAAATAAAATAAATAAATAAATAAAATAAAATAAAATATAAAAATATAAATCCTGGAATTTCCCTAAGCAAAAGTAACGGTATTAATATGAATAATTCATCATTATCTCTTTCGATTTAACGTTTTCTCCTCCCCCCTACAGTTTCTTCTACTTCTTTCTTCTCCTGATTCTTTCCTATATTAAAAGCACAAACGTATATATGCATTATTGAAAATTAGATTGGGAGATTCGTTGCATGCTATTGCTTAGAGGAATAGAATATTTGCATAAATAATACGGATCTGTTGCAAATAATCGTCATGAAATCGTAAACAAGATGGAAAATGCATGCAAAAATCGTGTCGCCATCTGTCAATAGATTGATATACTATTTTCTTCTTTATCCATTCCTCTTCTTCAGTATACGAGGGTACCGATCTCTGTTATAAGCCTCTAAAAATCCACTAGATAAGGCTCGGAATCGCCGCGTATTGCACAGAAAATAAAATGATTAAACTCTCATTTATACACATCAAGAGCCTATTTTTTATTATTATTATTTCCTTCCATCTCTCTTCTTCGCCTTTAGGTCGTGATAACGTTTTTCTTAGCCTTATCTTGTGGTTATGAATCCGGTACTTTAAGGAAATAAGGCTCTGAATTTAACGTAAGGCTCTGAATCAGTCAGTAAAAAAGTAAGCTCTGGATTATTTTGACTATAGAAAAAGGCTCTAAATCAGTTTAAACGAAGAAATAAGGCTCTTACTCTGTATGAATAATAATGAACTAAGGCTCTTACTATGTATGAATAATAATAAACTAAGGCTCTTACTCTGTATGAATAATAATAAACTAAGGCTCTTACTCTGTATGAATAATAATGAACTAAGGCTCTTACACTCATTTATACATATTAAGAGCTTATTATTTCTACTACCAGATACTGAAACAATGTAAATGGTAAAAATAAGGCTCCTCTAATATAAATGATAAAATAAAGCTCAAATTGTTGTTTACATAAATAAAAGGCCTTATTTTCTATTACAAGGCTTTTAATATATTAATTAACTGATAAGAATAAAGGCTTAGTGATGTAAATATATAATAATACTCTCAATCTATAACTTATATAGAAATAAGGTTCTTATAATGCTTTAAATGACAGCTTGATATATCAACTTTTTTAGATTAAAAACCTTAAAAATCATAATTTTTTTAATGAAGCCTGAATTAAGGATTCGATTGACGCTACAGTTCGGTATTTAAAAACAATTGAATCCTCTTTAGTTAATTCGCTTTAACGATAGAATCAAACAAAGACTTAACTCTATCCGAACTCCTCCTCGATTTAACGACAAAAATGTATTTAAAAATCTCGATTTTACTTTAAAATCTGATTCGAATTGGCATTTTAACCGCAGAATCCGAGATTTTAACGCCTTACTTTTATCACAAAGAATACAATTTTACATACCAGTAGACCCCCCTATAACACTGTAGATAATTCCATGTTATACGAATTCCATGTTGTACGAGTCACTTAGATTTTACAAATAAGTGTGCCGGGCTGTGAACGGCTCATGTATTTGTAAAATCTAAGTGACTCGTACAACATGGAATTCATATAACACGTAATTATCTACAGTGTTATAGGGGGTCTACTGTACTCAAATCGCGATTTAACCCTTATATCGGGGGTTCCTTCCTCCCAAGCTATCTTTCTTTTCTTATTAATTTACAAAAACCTCGCTTTAGCAGTATATATAGGCAGGAAATTATCATCTGGTTTTAAGAGATTCTTTAAAGAAATGGCAAACGAGACAAACTTCAACTCATCGCAAGAAAACACCTCGTCAGATTGACCTCTCGTTTTAACGCATAAACCCGATCTCGTTGTATAAAGATGAGGTTTTAATCTTTAAACTTGAACTTTGATCCACCTGCTAAGGTGGGGCTGCAAGCCAAAAGAGTAGCTTTACTACTCAATAACTTAGCTACACCACTTCTGAGAGTCACCAACCAGTTTCTTTTCTTTTTTTAAAGTGTGCTAACTCGTATATTTTCCACACAAGCTGAAAACTCAACCTCCCCCTACTAGATTAAGAGGTTAATTTATATTCTCCAGGCGAAGGGAGGGACATAAAATTACATTCATACTTATTTTATATCCACAATGGAAGGTTAGAAAAACCCCCAGAGGGTCGAATAAAGTGCACTTTATCAAGCCAGTTCGACTCTAAACAACACAAACAAGCTGTTAACACGATAAGGTATATAACAGGTAAGAAGTGATGCTGAGGAGCAACTTGGAAGATCGCACGTGGACTACAGAAGAGAGAGAGAGAGAGTGGAGAAAATATTAAAAAAATAAAAAATAAAAAGAGAGAGAGAGAGAGAGAGAGAGAGAAAAATCCCAACAGACTCCAGGTGCTCGGCGGTTAACAAGTTTTCTCCCAATGCAACATCCCGACAACCGGGACGGTTGCAGAAAACGATATTTGCTGACAGCATCAGAGCATCCGACTCGACTCCTTTTGATGTGGCCGACAACGCTAGATGACGCTGGAAATTAGATGGACTGACACGTGTTAAGTGACGTCAGCTCACGTGCATCCAGCTGGCACGTGAGGAACAGACGGATGGGTTCCTTTCTACGCCACGTCTTAAGAAGCTCTGGGAATTTTTCCCCACCCCTACAGAATGGAAAAGTTCTGGATGGATAAAACGTGAATTTTTGAGTGGTCTCGTGTTTTTCCCTCCCCCAAACCCTCTTTACCTCTTCCTCTTCCTCCTCCTCCTCCTCCTCCCTTTTCTTCTGTTTGTAGTGGGATAAAAATAGTCATCCCTTCCGATATTACGTAAATAATTCGTGTTCCTTCACACTAATTCAAACGTAACACCGTAAAAACCCTTCAGTAGCACGAACGTAACGCCTCGTTACTATAACGAAATGCCGCAGAAGCGTAAAGAAGTAGTTACGATACGCGTTACGACGCGTAGAAACTATTCGAGTCGTGCGTATAAGCGTAACTTATTACGATAGAAAGGAAGATTTTGCTGTAGCACGGGATATTCTAAGCCCCAAAACTCCCAATTTTAAATTAGTATTTCGAAAACATTTTTTAAAAACAAAAAAAAAAATATGGGGACGTGGTGCTTCGTGACGCGCGAGATGCGCTGCGACTCGAAGCAAGGCGAATAAGACACTAAAAAAGCGAATAACTTCAGTTTCTACGAGTGGATCTCCCTGAAAATTTGCATACACAATCGCACAAGTATGAAGAATATACGAGGGAAAAATTGTTTACATTCACCACACTGTTTTCAAGTTACGAGAGAGAAATGACTCCCGCCGCGCGACACCCCCGTCGATCGATATTTAGGAACGATAACTTTCCCACGCGCGGAACACGCTACAGTTACATGTTTTTCGCTTACCGATACGTAAATTTAGCAATTTAAAGTCGAACTAAACACGCGTGTTTACTAGAAACGGCATCACCAACCTACTACCCCCGCAGATCGAATACATTGTAACAGTGGCTAATTTGTCGCTTGTCACTGGCAAAACACCAAGAAATCAAACAAGTGTTCATTAGTAAGCTAATCAAAGCACTCAAAAATCGTAGCGATCAAAAGAATAATGAACACAACAAAGTTTAATTCATGTTGAAAAGTGGACAGCACACAGTAGCCCCCGGTTACTGCTGAATTTTCACAAGAAGCGTAGAAGGGGGGGGACTGCAGTTGTGAGAAGTAGAAGAGAGCAGAAGAGTAGAGTACAGGGAGAAGCAGCATATCCACTTAACCATTATTAAAAGGAGTATCTCCTGAATTCCACAATGGAGATCGTTACAGGGAATCAACCATCCATATCCAGACGATGGTGAATACTCGAGCATCTTATTATGTCCGTCGTCTCATTAAAATGGTAGTTCAGTCAGTGGTCTGTGGTTAATTGTTAGGAGCTAGGGATTTTGGCTTCGGGGTATGTCGTCGTTTGACGTTATATGGAGAGAAAGTCGGTAGAAACGAACGCGGGAACCCCCTAAAACTCCGTAAGCCACGTGTGCTGGTAAGTGTCGAAACGTGTAAAGTTCTTCCTACCCCCTCCTCCCTTTTGGAATTTTTGGATTTTGACAAAATTGAAAAATGTTTATTAAAATTCCTTTCGTAATCTTTGAGTTTCCTCCTTTCCTCTTCCACATCCTCCCACTTATTTTTTGCTTCTCCGTTCATAACTCGCTTCGATAAAGATGCTGGAGATGGAGACGAAGTTTGCGGATTTTTTGAAGATATTTTTCGATTTCTCTGTGTTTAAATAGGGATAAATCTTGGAAAATCTTGAAATCCAAAATAAAATTATTCCCTATTCGGGATCGATTATATTCAGTGTCATACAGGTAACTCCTGATCAGCGTAACGACGTTTCTAATGCTGTTTGAAGCATGAATATGGTATTTTTTTTTTAGTACTACATTCTAACTACTGTGTTTTAAGTGTTTAATAAAACAATGAAGAGTAATACATACATCAGACAGCAGCAGATGCCTCCTAAGATACAACTGTAGCATCTGTTGCTCTCCAGCTAGATATGTTTGCAGGAGAGTAGATATACCACTCGGCAGAAGAGGAGTAGAGTATGTACCACAATGAGTACTTAGTATATAGAACTGTATAAAAGCATAAGGTATATATTATTTTACGTGAAGAGCATCTATGAAGCGTAAGGAGGACGAATCAGCTCAATTTAAGCTGTATTCTTATCAATACAATGCAAGGATTAAGAGAAGAGAAAAGAGGGATAAACTTTAACTACGTCACGACAGTATCATTTTCAAAAATAATAAAAAAAATAACAATGCCCAACAAACTTGGAAAACAGGAAAATAAACTTGTTACAACTCTTAAAAAAACGGCACAAAAATAGTAAAGAAACTTCCAATAAGTCGATGTTTAGCTTTACTTAAAGTGGAAACTGTATCGAACCCCGATAGAAAAACAAAAATATCCCCCCT